TTTGATTCTTTAAAATGAAGCAATTCCCATCATCAACTGTACATTCTGCCATGTGGTAATTGTAGGGTTTCTCACAAGTTTCGAACGTCTCCATTTTCATACAACTAGTTGTTGGGACTGAGGTCTCTTTTTAAGTCACACTGTGCCTTACTATCACTTTGACAGCTCCCTAAATCATACACACACAACCCCACTTCAAGTCCTCTCAGTAAAAGGAGTATACACCCAATCAATAAAAATCGAGGTAACTCTCCCAAAAGCAATTCTAGCCCTTTAAAATTACCTAGGGCTTTTTGGTGTTTGGTTTTTAATTTACTTGGGTTTCATTTTGTTTTGTTTGTTTAGAAGGAAGACATTGCTACCATTCATAAAATATTTTAGCATGTGTGGAACACAAGGTAAGCCTGCAGCACTCATCCCCTGAATTAAGGTAGAAATTAAGATACAAATGAGTTAGACTGTGTGACAGGGTGAAATCACTAGCCCAAACTTCATGATTCCTAGAGCAACCCTTGATGCTCATTGTATTTGATTCCCTGTTGAGAATTCCACAGGGCAGAAATGGCCTCAGAAGGACACACATTCTTAAAAGTATTCATGTTATGGCAACACACTGGCAGCCTCCTTAACTCCAGAAACAAAAGGAAGCTCTTCGTGGGAGCAGTGGTCTTCAATCCTTTTAACATCCTCTCAAAATTAATGGCCTGTATCCCAAGCTTAGGTTTATTTACAACTTGATCACGTGGACTACTCTGCTGATATATACATAGTAAAACAGTTAAATATAGAAAATCCCCAAAAGATGAAATGAAAAGAAATGTTGAGTCAAATACTCCTACTCTCAATGGATGAGTTAGCACATGTCCTACATGCATACCCAACTTAAGTATTCTTTCATCAGGGCTTACAGTCCAATTACATCTTGCTATAGAACTCAGAGAACTGGCAAAACCTAAAAATATCAGCCAAAGTACCCTAAATCCCACATACAAATAATCCCCAACATTCTGTTAGAAGAATTATGCTTAGGTAAGAAATCATCCTTGTAAAAGATTTATCAGCGAAGAATCCTCTGTGAAAGCTTCAGCTAGTCACACACAGGAGCAGCAGAGTCCCTCTGCCTGGCATCAGCTTTCAGGTAATAGGCATGCAGTACCCATAATGTGTTGTTATCTGTCACAGGAGATCTGGAGGCCTGAGCAAGGACAACGTGGAGAGTGAATAGTTCTAGGAACAGACTGCCATATTCAAATTCACTTCCTGCCCCATGCTAATTTCCATAAACCATCTATGTATCTGGGGCTTAGATTCCTTAACTCTTAAATGAGAATAAAAATAGACACCTATTATACAGTTAAAAATTCAAAGATGGTGAAAATGTTAAGTTGTAAAAAGTTATATAAATGTAAGAAGAAATAAAACTTTTCCCATTTGTCATCTCTTAAAAAACTAAACTAAAAGATAATTATTATAAAAGAGCATATATTCTGCACAAGTTAATTATTTTTTCGTGTCTCAGAATACCTGCATTCCAAGTCCCAACCCCATAGCTCCTCTTGGCATACCCTGGTGTAACTGACAGATGTTCCCTCTGGTGGATACTGAAATGTACTGTGTATGGGGAATATATACATATATATATATATATGTCCATCCATCCATCCACCCCAGAGGTGAAAGTGAGCTCACAGCATCTTCTTCTGACTTCTAGAGGACCCAGGCAGTCCTTTGTATTCCCAGGCACAGCAGAAAGACTGGGCAACTGCTTTAGTAGTGGTGAAGGCCTATAAGAGTTATGCTCTGTTCTGGAGCCCTGCAAAGTCTTTTGTGTCCAGGAAGCCAGAGCTGTCCTTCATGGATTAAGTCATTGACAATGATTTACACAAATATTTTTTAAAGCTTCAAAATTTATTGCTATACATTTCCTCATAGCATTCACTATGGAAATAGTGCAAATATATTTTGAACTCTATAGCATTTGAAAGATCACAAAGCTTTTGATATCTTTTGCAATCATTTATGAAGATCTATATTAAACTTGTATTATTTTTAAAATTTAAACAATATAACATTCAAAGAGATTATATAATGCTTTCTAGAGGAAAAAAAATTCTGGAAGCCATTGGGCACTCTCTGTCTTGATAAAACTTGGTTTTCTAACTGTATGAGTCTTTATTCACTCACAAACTCATTCAACAAATACTTATTGACAAGCACATTGCAGGCATTATTCAAGGCCCTGGGGGGCTCTAAGATGGAAAGACACCAGCTCTGCTTTTACGTTGATTACAGGTCATTTCAGAGACAGACATGCAAAACATTTTTTACAATACAATAAAGTGCCTCCACAGAGGTATTTACAAAATACAGTGGGAACTTGGACAAGGGAAAGAGCATCTGCCTGGAGAAATGGGGGCAACAACACGGACAAAGTAGCCATTGAGCTGACACTTACCCATGACCAGAAACTTGCCATGTAGACCGGCAGGCAAGGGGAAGGGAACACACAGGTGTAGAGACACCAAAGCCCAGCAGAACTTCAAAGGAGCAAGTGAGGTGTCTTTTCTTGAAGCGAATGGCAATGGGGACAGTAGCAGGGTGAGGCTACAGCTACAAGATCAGAGTCTTTTGACCATTCTTCCTATTTTTTTTTTTTTCTTTTTTGAAACAGACTCGAGTGCTTGTCTGATTACATGCAATAGACGAAGTGCTGGGGAGCCTTGCTCTCACAGAGCTTACATTCTACGAAAGAGACAAAGAATCAACCAATCAAATACAGGTTTCAGAATTCCCTACAGAGAAACAGGGTACTGGAAATAAAGCTACGCACAGTCAGGGGTACCGATAAACACCTCTTAAACGCAACAGGACGACGGTGACAGCATTCTCCTGAGTGCACCAAGTGCCAGGCACTGTACCAAACGCCGTGCAAACAGCATCTCACGGAATCCTCACAACTCTATGAGGTAGGTATTGTTATTCCTGTTTCACTGAGGAGGAATAAACTCAAGGAGACAGAGGGCCCTGACAAGTCACACAAAGGCCAAGCCTAGGATAAGGTGTGGGTAACTGCAAAATTCATGTTCTGACATTGGAACCTGCATTTAAAGGCAAGTGAGGAATTCGGAGCAGGGAAGGGACATGATCACCTCTGCTTCTTTAGAGAATATCTCTGGAGACAAAAGCAGAGGAATAGAGAGAGGAGGAGGAAGAAGAAGAAGGGACTGAACAGTTGGAAGAAAGGAAGCTATTCAAAAGTCCAGAGGGAGGGACGAGGGTTCCCATGAACTTAGTGGTTGTGGAAGGAAGGATGTGAGGGGTGTGATTAACTCAGTACTTCTAACAGGACTGACAGATGCTACAAGCAAGGGAATGAGCAACATCCAGCATCATTCCTGCATTTCTGCCTTGTCCAACTGAAGTTGACTTTGAGCCAAGTTGAAGGATCCAAGATGATGGTGGGCTTGTGGCCATAAAATGATGGATTTAATTTTGAACATGTCCTGTGGGTATACTGAGCACATCACAGCCTCATGTGATGGTCACCAAGATACCACTTTATAATGGCTTTTACACACCTTGTTTCTACCTGAGCAAAGTACACAAGGAAAAACTACTAAAGCTTTGTAGTATGTACACTGTCAGTTGGCTTTCAGAAATCCGTTTATAGAAGTTTGTATAGTGGGTTGGATTGTGTTGTAAAAAGAATATATGATCCCAAGACGAGGCTGCATGTAGAGTCGGGGGCTTGGGGTAGGAGGAGAACAACTTCTGGAAAGCCATTCTAATAGTAGTCCCAGCTCTTTAAGAGATATCAAGGTTAACTCCAAGACACTTAGCCTGAGTCACTCTGATGGCCCCTAGCAGGGATCCTCTGGCTACAATCCTCCTGGAGCCTGCAAATCTGCCCATTCATCTACCAGCAGGGATGTTTCAAGAAAACTGGGGGCCTAAGGTGAAGACACAAAAATTTAATGAAATCAGAAATTCTGAGAAGTATTGTTACAGTTTGGCAATAAAGTTCAAAACGCAGAGCAGCCCAGACTCAGCCAGGCGCACAGCTCTGACAGTCCTGCTGCTCCCTCCTTCCCTGGAGGTCCTGGTGATGAAGGGTACAGGTGACACGGATGAGGACATGGTCACAACCTTGATCACACTACTTCCTTCGGGTCTGATTTTGTTTTGTTCTTTTGTTTGTTTGTTTGTTTGTTTGTTTTTGGTGCTGGGACCTGAATGTAGAGACTCGTGTATGCTTAGCATGTGTGCTCATTTAAAATGAACATAAATACAGCACAGGTCCAGTACATAAATGCATCAACTGTCCCTATGAAGCAACATTATTTGGGCTCCATTTTTCATAATTTCCTTATAGCCACTCCCTCTTGTCTTTGGCTCAGATCAACTTAAGCATGTTTTAATTTACAAAACTCACTGAATAATTTAATGCCAGTTTTAATAAATAAATACCAAGCTATTTCAATGGTAATAAAGTTAGGCTTCTAATAGAAGAGAAAAATTAATACTTTGGTCAGATACTGATTAGTAAAGCATCACACTCTGGCTCATAAAACCACTTCTTAGAGGCTGCCTCACGGTGGTAAAGGCTCTGAAGTGCTCTACAGACTTAGTGAGCTAGTGGGTATTAGAAAGGGGAAATATCCCAGGCAGAGCAAGTGCAGCTTCGGGCAGCACCTATCTAGATAGGGGCCTTGTATACATACCCAAGTCATGTCACAGGGAAGAAAGAGCCTGACTTTTGTAGCGCTATCCAAAGGACTAGTCCCAGGCAAGAGGAGAAAACTGAATGGCAGAGGCAATGTGAAGCTTCTAGTGAGACAACCCCTATGAAGAGAAGTCTGCAGGCACACTGCAATGCACCAGCTACTTCCCACCACCTCCATTTCCAAGCTAAGGCCCAGGGTCAAAGTTGAACATGGATCAGGAATGGTATCCAAGGGCTATTACTGTGTGTGTTCTTTAACAGAAGAAGTTCCAATCAGTCTGTGAATATAATCATTTATTTGTCTTTACAGTGACGATGAAAGAATGTACAGGTATCTTCTTTCAATAAAGTATAAAAATCTGTTTATATACAGTGAAGTCATAATAATCTTTAGTGGGGAAATGTATTTGGTACTCTTGATCTGTTTATATTAAAACTGTGGGGGAAACAAATATCTCACGTAAGTGCTACATTTCCAGTAGATTGCACCTGGCATCAGAAGCTCCACTTCATTTTAAGGGTCCTGCTTGATATTATAAAAGACTAATTTTAAGTCCTAGGACTCAAAATAAACATCATTTGGAATAATAGATATATACATCAAAAATACATCTAGAAAGGCATTGGTTAGTGCTAGTAAAAAGCTCTATGTGCTCAGGTACACTTTTGTCTTACAGGCGAAACCCGGTGGAAATGTTTTAATTCCGTTTCTAGCAATTTGCTCTTGGGGAAGGTCAGTCGAAAGTTACCTGTGAAGACAGAAGAACAATGACTTCTCAGATGAAAGGTCAGTAAGACTCACTAAGAATCCCATCTTCACAGTCCTGGGAGAACACTGAGCTCCAGGACTGGATGAGGATGGCTGAACACTGTAAGTCACTGGATCCTTTAAACTCTGGTATGTCATTCTGATGACCTTTTAATACCCAGTTCACTGTCAAAGAATCATATATATTATTGCTTATACAATATTTCTGGTCTACAATTAGCTAAAACAGCATAAAAAGGAAACTCATGGGGCATATAAATAAAATATCCTAACAGACAACAGCCAAACCCAAACATATTTTTGAGACAATTCTACATAATAATGGTTTCTTGTACTTCACGGCATCTGTAGATGTGCTTGAGGCTTCTCCTGATTACCAGAGTGAGACATCACTGTGCAATTGAAACTGAACAATTGGTGTCTAATACAGTTCATTCTCAGCTGCATGTTTCAACACATTTGTTTTTGTCACTATTTCCTTTTCGTGATCATTCCTAAAATGCTTGATAGCCTGGGTACTTATCTGTAAGTGTCAAGTTTATGTCATTTAGAAGATCTTGGCACGTTTCTTAACTAGATAAATAACCTAAATAAACAAATGTGCATCATTCTTGCATATACAGAATATTAGAAAGAGCACAAACATGAGGAGGCTGGCGTGCCAAGGAAACCGAATCTTAGAAGACTCCGTCTGCTATGAGCCATGGGAAGCTGGCCAGCCCCACCTGTTATCTACCTATAAGCTAGAGCCCAGCCTCTTCTACACATAAGGATAAATGTCTAATCAGGCTGTGTAATCATGCTCCAGGACTTTATATGCATATAGGCTAAACCAGTAGGTCATGTGAATGTAATTTTAATGATTAAGAAGTATTCTAAATTTTCTACAAGCTACAAGTCTAATGGCCTGGTCTAACAATGTCTTCTTGAGGTTAGAATATAATATGCATAAGTCTATGCTTATTGAACATATAAAAATAATGGTCATTTTTTAAAAGAATTATTAAAATTCAATCATTTCTCAACAGTCAGTTTGTTACTAGTGAGATGCACACTGTGCAAGGCCATGAGCAGGGGCCAGCTCCTGTCCATGGAGGGTGGGTGCCTTAACACCTGCTTGCTAACGTGAGCTGTCTGAGTGTTGCCTACAGAGCAACCTAGAATGCAACCACCAAGGAAGCAAAGGTCTCCTTAAGTCTTAACTACCGGGCTCCTGATGCCCGTGCTGACTTCAGGAGTAAACTCCGGAAGAGAAGAAAACAAAACAAACCAGAACCAGACTGACAGGAGAGATGTGCCATCTCAGATTACATCTTGACACAATGGCACCGAGTACTGCATGTGAGCAACTGCCATGCAGACAGACCCCCTTCCTGGCTCCTCAGACACTGAGGATTGGATTTCAGACCACAGGAACATGCTCCAGACCTCTCTCTCTGGGAGATTTAACACATACCGAATGACCCCATCAGATTCCTACAGTGCAACCTTTCAGCTTGGAAAACGAAGTGCAAAACGGCCACACAGTGTCTTCCTTCCTGTCCTCAATGAGTAAATAAAAGGTTTAAACTAGGACTGAACCAGGTTCCCCCAGTCAGGAAATAGAATACTGAGAACTGCACTGAACTGGATCTGAACTACATGCAAGTCAGGAAATTCCGGGACCGGATGTTGCTCTCCCCGGCCATGTCAACAGCAGACGTCACAGTCACTACTTGGTTGCGCTGTCATCATGGACACTGTTAAAGTACGGAGAGGCACTCAAGGGGAGGGAAGGCATCAACAATTGAAGCCACCTTCTCTCACCTCCCTCCCTGAGCTCTGCTCCTCTAACAAACACGACTCCCAGGCAGCAACTCCAGTGGAAACCCAGTTCTTCCCTCCACTAACTCAAGCTCACTTCGGATCAGCCACCAGTCAGGCTGATTCTCCCACCAGACATGTCTCAGATCCACCCTTTCCTGCTCACCTCTCCCATCACCTTCAGAAAGCCACCACTGTCCCTTACTAGACTACCATAGCAACATCTCAACGGGTCCCTGCCGCTAAGCTTTCTCTACTCCAAGCCAAATAAGCAAATATGGCCACGCCTTCTCCAAGAAGCCCTGCACCGTGACTCCCAGGCCTTCCAGATTAGGCCTGCTGCCCACACACTTCCCCTGCTCCCTAAGGAACAGGCACTCTACAGTCCAATCTCTCATCTTCTCTCTGAAGAAACCAACCTTCTCTCTGTTAACCCTTCTAACAAGCCACTTTCTTCCCGTGCTCTGCTTGACTCAATTCTGCTCGTCTTTCAGGACCAAGGTAAACGTTCCTTCCTCAGAACGGCTTTGCTGACCCTTCGCAACATGCTCTGCTCTGCTGTCTCTCCCTTGGAGATTCCATTTCAGAGGGAACAAGTCATTGGCATAGGGTGGCAGAAATTAAAACAGATCTTGCCAAAACACAAGACAGAGGCTGGGAAGCAAGATGACACATCAAAGCCACAGAGTGTGAGTACTCAGCAAAACAGAACACACACATAAACAGAGCCCACATGTGCATCTTTAAATAAATTCATGTTAGACTTGTCAATGTTCTTCTTGTTCCATCTGTGTCTAATGTGCGGTACGGAGAATCTACTAACGGGGAAGATTTTGCTTATCTTCCTGCTATAATTCTAAGGAGGGCGTGGCATCCCTCAGAAGGCGAATGAGGGCCAGCCATCCCTCTGAACCCAAGAGTCCGTTTCTCTTTCCTCTGCTTTCTCTCAGGACATCATAGACATTTTTTCACCATTGATTAAAACCATAGAAAGCAGGCCAAAGATCCCTTCTAGGTGGCTACTGTGGCAAGAATGTCCTCACAGAATGAGGACAGATACAATAACTTACGGGTCCTTAAATCCAGAGGGAGGCATGGGAAGGACCCATGAAGGGACAACGACATCACTGAGTACTGAGTACACAAAGGGACACCAATATGAAAGCGAACACTTCCCTCTGCCTGTCTCTGCGTCTGGGGTTTGCTTACCTGATCATATTCTTAAGCGTCATCTCCACTGTCCATATCAATGTCTATCTCCTCCGTGTCAGCAGCCCGGGACAGGATGTCCGCCATCAGTGCTTCTTCCAATTTCTTACGTACTTGTTGAACTCGCTCTTCCTGTTTCCTTTTCAAAATCAGAAGGAAATGAAACTGAAAATTTGGTAAGTAATAAAAATGAAACTACCCTGAGTGCCCGCCATCACTTAGAAAAGCTCGCTTCCTCAGACTGCCCAAGTGCTGCTCCTATACACACAAACCAACACTGCAAGCAAATTCCACCTTCTCAAGGGTGGTTCTCTCTCGTCTCTGGAGATTCTGGAGGAATCTCAGGAGATTCTGGAAGAAGAGATGAACTTCAGCGGCCTTTTCCTCAACTTCACGGATTTCAAGTGAATGAAGACAACTTAAAAACGAAGGAGAAATACCTTGGCCGTGAAGCTGTGAGGGGAGAGAACATGGGAAAGGAAGGGAGGACAAGTACTAGGTGAAGGACAACAGAGACATGCTAGAGGCACAGCAGGCCGGGCTCACTCGGACATCCTATGGCTGCGTCAGGAGAGCGCAGGCCTGGGAAGCCAGCTCCACATGGAAGAGCCAGGGCTACTGAAGGCCATGACTGGGGACAGAGAACAAAGAGCATCTCTCCTCCTGAGATGAGCCTAGAAGGCCAAGACCGTTGTCATGAACTTCTCTAGCTTGGTGACTGCAAGGTGACCTCAAAAGTAACAATAGTTCCACATCATAAAGAAAGGCCCTAAACTATTAAATGACAAACAAAACCCAGGATAAAGAGGCTACTACAGGGGTGGGGGTGTAGCTCAGTGGTAGAGTGCTTGCTTAGCAAGCGCAAGGCCCTGAGTTCGGTCCTCAGCTGAAAAAAAAAAAAAAAAAAAAAAAAAAAAAGAGGCTACTAAAATGTTCTGTAGCGCTATGGAGTCAGGGGACAGTGAGAGCAACTCCCCGAGGAAGGAGGAAACAGACATCCAGGAGCAAACAAGGAGGCCAGAGCAAGAAATAAAGAGGGCGAGGAAGAGGAAGAGGGAGTGGGCTGGCTCTCACAGTCCTCTCACACTGCGTGAGAGGACAAAGGATGGTCAGACGTTTCCTTCTGTAAGGCAGACAGTGGGCAGCAGTGCACACACCTGGATGGCGGACAGGAGAGGAACATGTCTGGAGGAATACCAGATCCCTGGGGGATTAGCCAGCTGTGGAGTCCCCTTTGTTCTCAAACCCAGGGCTGAAGGACACCACATCCAAGGTAAGGAAGGTAACATGCACCTTTCAGTCATGAAAACGCTTTCCATTTCCTTATTAAGAGAATTGGCACACAGGATTACTAAGAGCAGCCTTCCTGAGTGAAGTTTCCAACTGGGCAGGCAGGAGGAAGGCAGTGTAGAGTCAAGCTGACCTTCAGTTTCTTCACATTAGACGGAACTGGAGTGCAACAGGTGCTCGGTGATGGAGCAGGGTCCAGAAGAAGACATTTGTTTGTTTCTTACACTTTGTCTCCTCTCTGGCCCAGGGACTTAAAACTTCTGCCAAGCGACATCTCCGTCACATTGGCAGTCTCCCCCTAAAGACGGAGCAGGTGAGGCACAGACGCCAGACTGACCCACCAAGGAAGGCAGGGGTGGGGCCCGCTGCACCTGTGACAAGTCTCCTGAGCTCTAATGTATGTCACCAAGTTCCTTTGACTTTGAACATGATTTCCTGCCTTTATGCAGCAAACGTGCTTGCTGTGGGGGTAGGCAGAATTCTATGATGCTCTCCAAGAGCCCCCCACAGTCCACATATGTATACTGCTTGGGTAACTTCTCCCAGGAGGGTGGGTGACAACTGTGGATATGGTGAGATATCACTCTATAATCGATTATTAATCACAGACTCATTAATTAATCACAGGAAAGCTGAATCTAGTGAACCTAACCCAATAAGAAGTGTCCTGAAAGAAAACTGCGGGCACACAGAGAAGCAAGCAGTGGAGAACCACAGGGCACCGTAAGGTAGAGCAGCCCTTGGTCAGCAGTCAACAACTGAACAGGGTCTCGGCCCTGCAGAACACGCTGAACTTGACGTAAACGTCTGAACTTCAAAGACTCCCATGCTCCGGAAGGGAAGATGGTCCAGACAGCACTGACCTCGGCCTAGTGAGGCTGAGCAGAGCCCAGGCTGTCCAATCACAGGACTGTGAGCTTGTAAATGACGTAAGCTTTGATTCAAGAGAATGTTACTAGGTATCAGAAAACAATTACCCCCATGATTGAAAGTATTACCAGGGATGCTGAGGAGATACACTTATTGCTGAAATTTTTAGCCACGAGCTCACGCAGAAAGCACAGCCTCTACAGCTAGAACAACAGGGAGGGTTGGCAGGCCCTGCACGAGTGAGATCTTCTGCAGAAGCTGTGCAGAAGCAATGCTGGCTGCAGTTAGAGGAAGAGCAGCCATTCTTCTTCTGAAGCTGTGCCAATTCAACAGGGAAAGCTGCTTAAGGGTTCCTGTTACACCAGCTACATCAGATGACTGTTAGACATGTAAGCCACACCCCAGTAGGGTTTTAAGACCCCTACTATAAAAAGGTCTAGCTCTGAAGCCATCGGCATTCCCAGGACCCCAGTCCAAACCCTTAACAACTTGGTGAAAATCCTGTTCACGCTCGCAGTGTTCATACCAAGGAGGAAAAAACCTTGTTCCCCATGTAATTATCTTCCTCAAGGTCACATGATCCATAGAACAGCCTCATCTCTTGCTTTGATTTTTATATTTTGTTTTTTAAAATTCTTCAAAAATAAAGTTGATTGCAAATTTCAGGAAACCAAAGCACATGAATACAACCTTGAGCTGTTTTCTATCTTTTCAAGAGATTACTTTAAAGCCCAAGAATGGTTTTCCAATTATAAACCTAGCTAGACTCATACACTTAGGAACATTTCCATATCAATCTTTTTTAGATTTACATGGAAACAAATACAAACAGAAAACTATTTTAAATTGGATGATTCCAAACTGCCATCTGCTGGTTTTGTCTAGGAATGATAGTCCAGGAAAACTGACTTAGATTCAAATAGAAACACTGAAGAACACATATATACTGCCAAGTTTCTCAAAACAAAACAAAACAAAAAAAACCCACCAATATACTGAGGAATTATTATCATCACTACAAAGTTATGGTACCAAAGTTCAAAAGTCCCAGAAAGTAATTTCCTTGGGATCTCACTATTCACTATGTTGCTTCTCTGAAATAATAGTTTGCTTATACTTTAGGGTGCTACCAATCCAAACCAGATTTTCCTTTTTCTGTTGTTGCTAAACACCTGCTTTGTGGCCCAGCCTTAGAAAGAATGAAAGCTATTTATAGATATAACTATATCCTCTTGTATTCCTGACTCTGTTTACCTCTTTGCTCTGTCTTGCTCATTTGCTTCCCATCTAGCTCTACTATATGAGTATTGTGTGTACATGTATGTGCATGTGCGGAATCTTGGGGGGGTGCGAGCATATTTATGTGTGTGTGCATGGATGGGTGTGTGTCTCTGAAACAATTTAAATCTTTTCATGTAACAATAAAGCAAATGTAAGTAAACCTCTACACTGAGCTTGAATGAAATAAATATACTCATGATAACTAAACCGAACTTTAAAATGTAGCTGAGCCTTATGGCAGCAAGGCTACCTACACCTCTTTAAAGAAAGGCTGGTTTGCAGACAAACCAATGCACAAAGAATCACAAAGGCCTGGGGAACAAGGAAATGGTGGGGTTTGGGAATAGAATACATGCCTTGAATGCTAGAGTCCTGGGTTTCAATTTCGAGCACTACAAGAGGCAACTCAAAACTAAAAAGAAACTGCATAAAAGGACTGATGGATGAAAGGAGCTCATTAGAGCCAAACTCCAGAGGCACCAACTGTAAAACTGCTGCCTTGAGAACATGACTAATGTGCTGATGACATTCTTGTGATGGTCACTCTGATACAAAGCCTATTTTCAGGGATATTTTCCTTACAAAGATCTTTATCACTTTCCATTCATTTCAGAAAAGCTCTGTGTCTTAGTCTGGGTTTCTATTGCTGTGATGAAACATCATGACCAAAAGCAACCTGAGGATAAAAGGGTTTATTTATGCACTTTCATATCACAGTTCATCACTGAAGGAAGTCAGGGCAGGAACTCAACAGGGCAGGAACCTGGAGGCAGGAGCTGATGCAGAGGCCACGGAGGGGTGCTGCTTACACTTGCTCCCCATGGCTTGCTCAGCCTGCTTTCTTATAGAACCCAGGACCTCCAGCCCACTGTTGGCACTGCCCACAGTGAGCTGGGCCCTCTCACATCAGTCACTGCCCTACATGGTTACCGACAGCTGATCTTAACAAAAGCATTTTCTGAATTGAGATTCCCCCCTTTCAGATGACTCTACCTTGTGTTAAGTTAGCATAAAGCTAGCCAACACACTCTGTGAAACCCAAACTATGATTTCTGATAGATTCATCACTTATAGATTAGGAATTTTCTTTTAATCTAAAAGGCTTGGAGCCAAAAGAAAATTCTTTCTTTTTTTTTTTTGGGGGGGGGGGGATTTACATACACACAGAGATATCTTGGTTATGGGACTTAAGGCTGGACACAGAATTCACTTCCGCGTCACATACACTTTATACACCTGGTGTAAGGGTAATAACATCCATGGCACATAGAGCAAAGTTTTACGGCATCAAGCTGTTCATTTATGGTGTCATATCAGACCTCAAAAGGCTTCAGATGTTGAACTTAGTTTTAAGTTTTGAATACAGGTTGATCAACTGTACTAGCTGTGACACGGAATGTAAGGCTTTTATAAAAAGCATCTACAGGCAAAACCGAGGTGTTTGAAGTCATGTTAAAATGCCTTACCTAATGTCTTCATCTGTGACAATGAAAGCTTTGCAGAGGGGTTGAGATGTGTTAAGCCAGACAGCAGGGTTCTTTTCCACGGCCGCAGAGACTTGCCCTGTGATTGGTGCAGAGCTTGTGTGCAGAGCACTGGCCACGGCAGACAGAAGGGTCTCATCGTTACTACCCGGGCCGACTCCTGCAATGAGAAAGCCACACTGCTGGAAGAGAAGCGCTCCTGGGCTGGTGGGCCGGCCACTGCCTAACACCCAGTGTCCTCATGCTCACTTAGGGTCACACAGGCAAACCTGACCCCCGCCAAGCGACAGAGAACAATACATACCAATAATAGCTACTATGTACCAAAGGACTGACAAACAGTGACCTTCAAACAAAACTTCAACTTGAAAATACATTTCTTAAGGCCCCAAACTTTTGAAAAGTTATGTCCATTTTCTCAAGAAGGGCCAACTACTTAAATAATCTAAGATCCCTATAAGATCACCATGCTATGCTCAAGTATCCCTATTAACATGGCCTGGATCAATTTCTTCCTATAGCTTTTAATATCAATTTCCAGGAGTATCTCTATTCTTATCATCTTTATTCTGAAACTTCAGGGAATGTCAATGCAAGCATGGCATATCCAAAACTTAATCATCTTTTTCAAATGACCAAAAAAAAAATTTAGATTCCTAGAATAAGTGCATACCCTCATGCTTGTACGGGCCTCTCGCCACAGCAAAATTTAAGTGAACTGATCAAAGTTCTAAACTTATTTAAGTCCTTGAAAAATAATGCAAAAACTCTTGAATGAGGCATAACCCTACTGGCCACTGAGTCTCCTACCCCAGAATCACTAGGCAATATCGTGGGCCAAAGTATGTATTCCTACTGTAACCCACACAGCAGAGATACAGGAGATCTTGGAGTTGTTCTTTTAGTGTAAGAAGATAAGAGAAAGAAAATGCTGGGGTGAGATGCCGCGATTTGGGAAGCAGGACACTTGGGAAACACTTTGTTCATCTGTAGTTAGTGCTAAAAGCAGCACACGAGTTAAAGGAGATGACAAGGTGACCTGGAGCCAAACATTTCACACCGAAGAAAAAGAAACGCTAGGTGACATACAATACACGCTTGTCATGTGTGTTTTCCCTCAGTTTATAACACAAGAGGCATGCCATCCAGCAAAGCACATGGTCCCCCAAAGCAAAGGCCTGCTGCTACAGGTCAACTGTGGAGTGACGCACAGTACCTAATTACAGTGCCTGGCACACAGTCAGTACTTAATATTTATTCAACTAAACTTAGACAGTACCTTGAAGGCCTTTGGGTAGCTCCATGGTTTTTATAATTTGTTCCGTTACATCCGATGCACTAAGTCCTTGCAGCCTCTTCTCCCAGAAAAGCTGTAAGGCAAAAATACCAGTTAGTAGACACATTCCCTGCTGCTGAACAATGCAATATAAGTCATTTCTGTAGTTTCCTATGGTTTTCTGATCTTTTTCCCTTACATCAAGCTAAATGAAACCCCAAACAAGAATTTTCCAACACATCCTAACTGCTTCAGATGAAATTACTCAAAAAGTGTTGTTCTGATTATGCGAACTCAATTGCTACAATATTACAGGCGGTTGTGGGTTATAAAGCTATATATAATTGCTCATCAGGTATCCTCAAAATAATGTAATAATTTGAATTTTTAAAAATTCATTTAGCACAAAATGCCAATGTTAAAATTTATTAGAGAAAGAAAACAATAACATCCAATATCTTTAGAGAAACATGATTTTTCTAAGACATTTATATGTTTAGCCTTTCAGTACAATTTAGGGGAGTAAATACTATACTTATTATTGATAGAAATTTTTGCAAAACATCTTCATACCAGTCATGAATCGCTTTCTCCCTGTTACACAGGTCCCTGGGTCACTCAATCACCCAGTAGTCCCAGATTACTGTTCTGGTGTTAGTGAGCACTAAAGGCTCTCCCTGCCCCAGGGATCTACTGGGGTAGACAATATCTTTTCAAACACAACAGCATACTTTTACTCTATAGACTGTTCGGATTTACTCTTAGGTCTCACTGAATGTGTCCATCCATGCAGCATATTCTCTGAGTTCCTAACACACATTATGCATGTCTTATGGATGCATAATCAACAAGGGTCCTTATCCTGCTTCTTTTTAAACCCCCATCATATTTACTGCAGACATGGAAAAAAAAAACAAGGAATTCTATAGGACTCTCTTCCTTCCGTGGTGATGTTTTACTTCTTCAAAAGCTTTAATTCCATTTTACAGATACGGAAGCAATGGCTATGACACAAGATTACTGTGGAGAGTAAATAAGGTAATATACGTCAAGTACCTATCATACAGCAATCATAAAACTTACTATATTTACTTTGAGCAAGATCTGGCTACTTTGGGGGCCTTGGGGAGTTTAATATGTAAAGTCATCAGATAACCACCCATCAGACAAATGAGAAGATACGGCAATATAAACTCCTTATGGCAGAATAATATTATGTTGTGTTTATAATAACCTCAAAAAGGGCACCAAGAGTAACCTCCAACAGAGTGCCTTAAAGACCTTTTGTATAGTTATATAGTTACGGGTCTTACATCTTTCTACGAGTAATATTCTCAGTAGAAGTAGAAAATGTAGCCAATTAAGCAGTCAGTCAATACTGGGAAGATGGAAGTATATATATAGGAAGATGGAAGTATATACTGGGAAGATGGAAGAATTCAGTGAAAGTATAATGATTATCATAACCATCCCGAAAAATCCTTTCTGCGTTCTATTTACTCCTTGGTATGAAAATGTCATCTTTGTTTGGAATACCACAACTATTATTTTTAATAATTAAAGGAAATAAAAGCCAGTTATATTTCTCATTAATATATGCAGAATTTAGAGCTGGGAAGACAACTGTCAGTAAAGTGTTTGTCTTTCAATAATGAGGACCTGAGTCCCATCTCCAGAATCCAAGTGAAAATTCCAAGCATGGTGGCACAGGACTGTAATCCCAGCACTGGAGAGGGAGAGGCAGATCCCTGGGGCTTGCTGTCAAGCCAGCCAGTCAGCCCAGTTGGTGAGACAGGCCATTAAGAGAATCTGTCTCAAAGGGGGTGGATGGCATTCATGAGGATAACAGCGGAGGTTGTCCCCTGGCACGCATATAAACACACACATAAAAATATATGTGTAGAACCCAAGGATATGTACGTGTATGTTACATACATATGTTTTGCCAGTTCATATTCACTGGTCAACTCACTACAGAAAAACTGCCTATGTACTAGACATGTGTAAACTTTTCCCCCTTGAAATTATTCTCTGAACACTAAAATATAACAATGTACTCAGCATTCACATCACATTAGCTGTTAGAAGTAATTAAGGTACAAGCTAAAGGATAGAGAAAATGTGAAAGGCTAAGATGCTAACATTACACCATCTTACATGGTGTAATCTTACACGGACACAGAAGACTTGAGCAGCTTAAGGACCTGGATATCAGTAGATGGTCCTAGAACCAATCTCATGAGGAAGAAATGACTTGACAACTTAATTTGTAAAAATAAAACAAGAGTACCAAAAAAATAAAAGTATGGAATTATGGGTGGTTATGATTGCCAATATTTTATACCTAAAATTCGAAGTCCAGATACTAAAAGATAATTTTGAACTTATTACATTTTATTTTGAACTTTTTATCAATCATAAAGAAAATTATACAAAAAGTCAGAAGAAAATCAAGTAAAATATTGGATAAAACACCGGTCCATGGCTCTTGTTTTTATCAGGTTATAATACTGCTGGAGGCAGCTCCCCAAACTCTAGGGTCTATTTTCACTACCCTCAGTCAGTTTATAACTCACACTCTTTGGGGAGAGTAGGGAGGGGAAAGTTTTCTTTTGCCTCAGCCAACCTTCCTAATGCTGTGACCCTTTAACACAGTTCAACAAGTTGTGGTGACCTCCAACCATAAAATTATTTTTGTTGGTACTTAATAACTGTAATTTTGCTGCTGTTATTAATCATAATACAAATATCTGCTATGCAGGACATCTGATATGTGACCCCTGTGAAAGAGTTGTTCAGCCCCCAAAGGGGTCACAACCCACAGGTTGAGAACAGCTGGCCTAAATGTTTCTCAAGGTCTTCATGAAGTTCAGATGTTTACTAGGAATAGATGATGTTCGTCTGGAGTTTTCCTCAGTCAATCTCTGTTCAACAACAGTAATACTGACATTGCAGGTCCTTCCAAATCTGTAAGGTGACCTAGTTTCCTTTCTGGGCTGTGATAAAATACCCTGACAAAAGCAACTTGAAGACAGAGATGATTTATTTAGCCTACAATTCCAGGTTACTGTTCTTCATGTCAGGGAGAGTCAGGGCAGAGACCTGAAGCATTAGTCACACCCACAGTGACGAGCACAGAGAGAAGGAATGCATGCCAACCTCCAGGATTTAGCTTCCCTTCTCCACTCTCCCTGTACTTCAGAACCCTGAAGCCAAAGGAATGGTACTGCCCACAGTGGGCTACATCACACATCAATGCACACAATCAAGGCAATCCTCCACAGATATGTACACAAAAACCATCTAGACAACCAGACTTAGATAAAACTCTTGGAGACTCTCTTCCCCAGTGATCCTAGACTGTTTCAAGTTAACAAAACTATCACAGGAGTCCCCATTTTACCATGGCTACCTAGACTCTCTCAGTACATTTTGTAAACACTACCACTGTCATCAATTCTAACATGAAAATCTGATTTTACCTGCCTGATTCAATGATTTTCTCAACTTAGTCTCTTTGCTGCCTGCTCTGACACCAAATGATCAATAAATATAATACTTAAGAGAAACATTGATTTAATAATTGAATCAAGTCCCAAAATCAATGCACTATCACCTTCAACCTTCAGTTATTAAGTACCTTTCTAGTCCTTACCAAGGAAATCGCTGAGTGTCTCTAAGATCTTCTTGTTATACTCCAGAATACTAAAAAAAATCAGACAGCTCCCAAGTAAACATCACTTTCTACTGCCCATGGTCTCAGCAATGGCCTTTCAAATAAACCACCTGACTGTGGCAAAAATATCAGATGGGATTAAACATCACTTGTAAGCACTAAGCACCTAAAAGGTCAGCAAGGGGCCATGCTGAAGAAGCATTCTGGTCACTACAAGGCCCCTGCCTCACTGCGCCCTCTTCTCTCAGGTCTTGATTTATCACGAATATTAGGGCACTAGTCGGGCACAGCTGCCTGCACTTTATCTACCCTGGCTTCCCAAATGGACAAACGGGATGGTGTGTCACAAAACCCATTTCTTTCATGAGACCAGCCACCAAATATGTTTACTGAAAGTAAAACTAATACCAAACACAACTATAACATCTTTGCTTTTGAACTGCTGAAGTTTAACTTGGGCTTTGAGGGCTGTATTAGCTTGTCTTTAGAAGAGCATCAAGAAGATGAAGAAACAGGAATCAAAACCACACACAATTCTGGAGCTCCAGAAACTGAGCTGCTAAAATGTTTATCATTATACCCGTCCACCACCCTGAGAGCATTAACTCATACTATGGGGAGATTTACACTCTTTGAAAAAGTCAGATTCATGGGAAGCCTAAGTCCTGACTGGATGAGTACTGATGGCATGAGCATGGCCATGTCAAAATCTCCAATGCCTCAGAACCATAAGAATGCCAAGGCCTTCCCCAGGGCAGGCTCGGGGAATGCCAAGGCCTTCCCCAGGGCAGGCTCGGGGATGCCAAGGCCTTCCCCATGGCAGCCTCAGGGGAATGGAAAGGCCTTCCCCACGGCAGCCTCAGGGGAATGGAAAGGCCTTCCCCACGGCAGCCTCAGGGGAATGGAAAGGCCTTCCCCAGGGCAGGCTCGGGGAATGGAAAGGCCTTCCACTGGTCCCGGTACCAGTGTTGACAGTGTGTGCAGAAAGTATCAACCAGGGCTTCATCCTCTAAGATGACTGCAGCCTGAGACTGCTTCCCTACAGAGTCCTCCTCCCTACCAACATTAACTCACCCATCTCCTCATTCAGATGTATATGATAACCACACTGAATTTCTGGCGGCTGGTAGGCTCCGTAGGCTCCATCAGGGCATACCAACCCCCATCCCAGCTTTCCCATAAGTGTGTCTATCTATTGTGTCTTCATTCCTGGTTGCCGTCAGGTCAGTCCCAAAGCTGTGCAGGCTGCAGCACAGAAAGGGGTGGTTTACAGGGAAAGGGTATCAGAGAATCAATCCCAGCTCAGTAAGTGTTCTTGGAGCATCCATCCAATGCACAGTGTTTGGTAGGTACTGGGTGTTCATGTACTGGCTATGGAGCTCTGTTTAGTGAAAATAAACAAAGCCAGGGAGACCACT